TTTATGTTTTCTAAAGTTAATTTTGTACACTAGCGTTTGGAAAACTTTTTTTCTAGTTATGAGTCTCTTTAACTGCGTCACCAGCAAAATTTTTGTTTATCAAGGACTTAGTTTTTAGTGCTGTTGTCAGAGTGTATTTTAGTTTCAGACTTCAGAGATTGATTTCATTTTATCTTTTGATATTCTTCTCACTGGGTCATTGTTCTTTTTGCTGTTAGATTTGTTTAAAATATTTACTGATAGTGAAAATTTGAAACAGTTTGTTATTAATGAGCATAAAAAGGTTTATAAAATAAAAAACTTTCTGGTTCTCCACTGGTTAGATTACTTGATCAAACAAATTTTATTCTCTTGTTTTGTTCAATGTCCATCCTCTGAGCTAATTATCTTCAACATTTTTGCAGACGATTTGTGGTAGCTGCATTTGGCTCTAGAGGCAGAAATTGCTTTCTCACAGTTGAAAATTATTGTTGTGAACGGCCAAATCCTATCTTACAAGTATGATGACCACTTTTCTTTCAATTTTCCTTACTATTTTTCCTTGTAATAAGTATCCATTGATTTCCTAAATGTACATGAACATCCTTCTAGGTTTTCGAGATGCATCTCTCTTTTCTAGATGTTGATATCAGGGAATTCACTCACTTCAGTCAGTTTTGAATTTAACAATGGTTTCAATAGGATCATAGAATCTAGTTTATCTTGTTATTAATTGAATATATTTCACACAGGTATTATTTGCTTGCCGATGTTGCATTGATTTGTGGTGTGATATTGTATGAAGATATATATAGGATGACTCTGCATGGAAAAAATTCTAATGGAAAAAATTCTAATTTGAAGGAGCATGGTGTGATATTCCTTGTCACCAAACTCAATGTGATATTTGCAGATATTTTATCTGGTCATCCTTGGTGTGACATACTTTATCATTGGAAAGTCATCCTTCAGATACATTCCTGGTTTCTATGTCAGTGAATTTCACTGGTAATATCTGTAGCACTTATTGCAGATAATATGAATGACATAAAGCATTTTGAACTTACAGAAAACAATTATATTGTCCAGGTACACAGGCATGTTGGCTGTAGGTGTTGGAGTTCTTCTTTTTCTATTGACTAGCTTTTCAGATCCAGGAACTGTGACAACTGAGAATGTTTCTAAATATGTATCTGCATATCCTTATGATGATATCATATACATGGAGAAAGAATGTTCAACTTGCAAGATCCTAAAGTCTGAGTATTGTTTTTGTACTACTATTTTGGTTGTGATTTCTTTGCATTTTATATATTCTCACAGGAATTGCATTTAAATGCAGACCTGCTAGATCTAAGCATTGTGGCATATGTAATAGATGTGTTGCCCGATTCGATCACCACTGCGGTTGGATGGTCAGGCCTGTTCTATATCTTTCCTTGTTATCCTATTGTTGCTTTTCTGATAATATGTCAACAACTCCTTGGAATAGTTGTCTTATTTGGATGCCTTAATTTGGTTTATGATCAATGCAGAGTTACTGCATTTTTGAGAAAAACACTTCCTAATTCAGTTTATCTGGGACGCAGAATAATTGCATTGGCGAGAAGAACACCCGTTACTTTATGGCCTTTCTTCTTTGGTTAGTAAATACCTAATCCAATGGTGAATATTCTGAGGTCATGTGTATCATCTAGTTATTATCATGCATACTTTACATTTGAAATAGTACTCTGCTAAACATAGAAATCTTTCATCGTAATTAAAATTTTTCTTTGTATCATCATCTTAAATTACTTCAAGTTGCTATTGGGCTATAAATTTTCCCAGTAAAGAAGACTTCATGAGCTAAGTGAAGTTCTCCTACGTAACTGCTTGTCATTGAACAAGCTATCCTTATCCTTTGCACAATTGTTCCTGACTAAGATGCCTGGTGACTTTTGAAGTGATTGTTTAATTTTTTTGGTAATTACATAATATATATACATTAGTTCTTATTCAAGAATTTTGAATGATCTTGATGTACTGAAGGTTGGATAGTGAGACGGTTAGAGAATTCTTCCATTATAGTTGATCTCGTGACCTTTTTCCTTTTCCTTTTTCTAGTTTCAATTGCATATGAAGTTTTCTTGACTCATTGGTTTTCTTCTATTAGCAAAGATCTACATATTTTTCTATAAAAAACTCATCATTTCTTTTTTTTTATTGTCTTGGGGTATTTTAAGTTACTTTGTATTTTCATGCTGTCTTTATTTATTGTATTGTTTATAGAATACATTATACTTGTTACTTTTATGGGTCAAGTGTTAATGATAATTACAATGTGTAGGAAGCATTTATTTAGTTTCGCAATGTACAAAAAAGAAAGTTTTACACTGCACATCTAATATCCATTTATTGAAAAGATCTCGGCAAAGGAGTATATTTCTGAAGTTTATTCTTTAACATGTTTTTGCAAGTTGGGTAATATATGATATTGTATGTTTGTATTTTAATCTGTCAAAGTAGTCAAAATTTATTACTTCAATATTTTGTTTGGTGAATTGAAGCATATATCAGAGGTTTCAAATATCGATTGTACCAGTTGGCATTGGCTGGTATTTAGGTTCATCTAAGTACCAGTGTTGAAACATATAGCTCCAATGTTATTTTATTCAGTGATATTGGATGGTTCAGGTTGATATACCACCCAGTATAACTGTACCATATTAGCCCATTAGCTTACTAAAATTGCTATTGAACCTAAATTTAAACTCTTGTATTGAAGTGAAAATATTGCTAAATGAAATTATGTTTTGGTTTCTTTGGTCAAGTGAGGCAGCTAATAATAGCTTAAGATTTGTCCTACATTGATGGAACAAAGCTAAAAAGTAACCTTAATGTAAAAGGCAGATGGCACTTAGCGTGAAGGCTGCTGTCTAGGTAGGATACATTAAATTAAGGTCATCAAGGCCCACTGATGGATCCTGCAAGTAATTTTGATATTCCTTTACTGAGGGATCTTATAAGGTAATCATCTCCTATGATGCAGCCAGTCAAATCTGAAATATGTTATGCTAGTTAAACATCACATTGAGAACGATAGTTTTTGTAGTTTGGTCCATTCCAATGTGAATATCAGTTTTGTGACTGACTTGAAACTTTTTCCAGGACAAGCCCTCTAAGATCCTTGTTTTCTGAAAGATGTTTCAGTTCTGTGGTAATGTATTATGATACAGCATAAATTGTTGCCATCCCTGCTCCTGTCAATCTTATTGCTACAATAGCTACATACCTTGTGAAAGAGTTGATATTGTTCTTCTGATGATTTCTTTACAAGATTAACGAACGAATGACATCAAAATTAGCACATAATTAAACATTTGTCTTGGGCACTTGCTAACCAGTTGGCTACTTCTTTGTATGGTGATTAAGTTACTTTGTTTATGTTTGAAGCATTTAGCTCTTTATCTATTTGTTATTGTTATCATGATTTTTTCCCCTTGGATAAGTGTTTTTTTTATCGACTCACATTCAAAAGGATTCCTAGGCAGTGAAAACTCAACATGCTAGACTTTCTGTCATGTAACTTCACTGAATGTAACTGTCATATGTGGTTGTGGCCTTGTGGGTGCCCCTAATGCGGAATCCTCTCCTTGTTTATCTGGTGAACTGGCAGGCACTTTCTTATTTGTCTCTATGGAGCACTTGTCCTCGGATTAATTCTTGCTGGTCAATTGAAAGAGCACAAGATAATATACATTTTAACTGGTAATCTGATGTTCATCCAAATGCATTTGGCTTGTGTATTAAGTTTCTATCGTGTTTTTGTGATGACCCTTCCTCTTTTTTCAGCTTATTATGGCATTGAGCATTCATTTTCCAGCTTATCTCCACATGTGGTACAGGTAAGATGGGAACTTTATGTGGTACAAGGATTCTATGCATTGCTCTCTATATCTGTAAATTATTAGAGTTTTTTATATGAAATTTCTGCAAAATAACGATAAAATATTACAGTGGTTGCTGGGTTCATATAATACACAAATACTTCTGATAATGTTTCTGGCAATAATTTCATTGCTGCTGGCCGGATTTTTTGGATATCATGCACATCTCTGTTTGACAAACACCACAACAAATGAGGTTTTCTTCTCTACCTTGCCCTAAAAAGATGACCGGCCGAAGCCGACTATTAACAGATGCTTCATGTCTTTGAGCTAGCAGACTTTCAAGTGGCAAGACTACATAAGCTGGAAGAGGAAACTGAATGAAGCCAAGGCCAGCGCTGCAGCACTGAAGGCCGGTATACAGACACTCAATGAAGAAGCAAAAGCTCCTGAAAGCAAATGGAGGGCTTTTTTCCGCAGATCCCCTCTGCAGAATGATGATGTGATTGTCAAGAATAACTTGTATGATCAAGGATTAATCAGTAACATTTGTGAGATCATTTTTCCTTTATCGCAGAGAAAGTCATTCTTTCATCGGAAATCAACATAACAGGGTTGTTGTAGACCCCCTTTTTCTCATATGTGATACATGAAGTTTGCATTTAATGTAAGTTACCCATTAATGTTTCTTCGGGGGACCGGTTATATATTACAGAAATTGATGCTGTAGCTTGAATCTGATGGAAGATCCCAACTTCTATCTTGTTGCAAGGATTTGGTATTCCTTGGATCTCATTTGTCTACTGACTGCTTGTTCCTATGAAATATTCTGGAATTTAGAAGCACTACACTGGTTGGTTGTGAAACATGGGGTCTTTGAGATTTCAGATGGGCATATGGTATCAGATAATGTTCCCAAATTGTGTGTGCAGGATAGGGAGACACCTTTATGCTAAAAATGAATACAAAGATGATTTGCTTGTGGCAACACCTCCATGCTCTTCATCATTTTGACCTATTAACAGGAAAAATAAATCCAAGTGGAGGAACATTAATCATTCTCTTTCCTTCATTGATTCAGATGTTGCAAGGCATTAGCCTTGGGTTTTATCTCTTGCACATGAACTTTTGCAGGAAGAAATGAGAAGCATATTTCACAACTGAAATTGACATAACTCAAAAGCCATTACAAGAAGTGGTTGTCCAGTTCTGCAGAAAGCAGTTTAGCATAATGATAACCACGCTTATTTTTCTATATTAACACAGTCTGATCGACATCACATTGCCACATTGTTACAGCGAACTCCTTCCGGAGGCAAAAAAGAAACACCAAATAACTGCACACGGTACCATCCAGAGTCAACAACTCCCAAGTGATTCCAATCTACTAAAAAGGAATGGCAACAATCACTGGAGCTGTCAAAAACTGAGAGGGAAAAATATTGAACTTTGTCAAGTTGCTTGTTTCACCATCAGTGGGTCCACTGGTTTCCTGAATTCTTATCCTTGGTATCTAATATTAAGGCTCATGACGAACCCTTACTTTTTCTGTATCCTCCTTCACTTGCTTCTTTTCACAAAGACAACCTTTGGGCTTGGTAGAAGCTGAAGGATGCAGTCGTTCATTATTGGCTTTGGATCATTGTCCAGACCCGGCTGAAATCTTATCTGCAAAATGTTTTGTTGATTTAGATCGCTAACCACTGAAGCGCAGGAAGATAACAAATGCAAACTTGTCAAAATAATTAAAATATAGAAAAACATACACACAATGAAAGAGTGGAAGCTTGTCGAAAGAATTAAATATAGAAATACATACGCAGAATGGAACTAGCACAACAATGTCTAAGAACTTCAGTTTAATTGACGTCTTTCCTGAAACTTCAAGTTCCTCAGTTTAGAAAATCAAGGAAAATATAGATGTTGTTTCGTACACCAACATGTAAATGGAAGCTGAAACTTGAAACTACAGACAAAGCAACTTATTTCACTACTAATGTTCAGATCACAAACCATTCCCAGATATTGCAGAAATTAGTACCAAGATCATTCCCCAGGGATTACTTCATCACTCAAGATTCAAGTAAAAGGAGAAACAAAATAGTATTCCCCTAAAAAGAAGCAAGAAGAGGAAACAGAAAACATGTCTTCTATTGAAAAAATATCTAACAGTGCCCTATTATTTGATCTGTAAGCTCCTAAATAGATCATGTACCTATTCATCTTCCCAAGATAAGCATGGACACTAATAGATAGGATTGTTCCGTTGCAAAATAGGAGAAGCGGATTTGAAACAGAAATATAATCTCTTTGCTTACATAGGTAAAATTACAAAAATTGATCCTCTCAGGATCTTATATTGGAGAAGCCTTATGTGCTAGGCCACTATTTTATTTTATTCATTCACCTTCCAAGCCGATGACCAATTCATCAATATCAATATCTGTCAAAACAAAAGGAGCATGCATCTCTCTTAAACAATTAAAAGCAAGAAACAAATTACAGTAATGGGAAAGTCTGTCAGGTTACCCACTAGATCTGATCCTATTCTTTATTGAGTTTTCAACCTTAACTCTTAAAAAAAAAACTTAGCTAATTTTAACCATTGAATTGGGTGATTGTTGTATATTTAACTATGAGCTCTATGGATATGAACAACAAATATCAAACTCTATGGATGTGAACAACAAAATAAAATGACAATAAGAATGGGCATGACTATATGCATTATGAGAATGTGTTCTTTCTTCATCTTGTTTATCAAATTAGAAGCTCATATAATAGTTTTAACCCAATTATTGAGCCCTTACCCATATGCATTAAAAGAAAATAATTGATTATTTATTAGATGAGGATCAGACATTTGTGTGAAATCATTTTCTATGCAGTCTATAAAACATTTGATTTGTCATAAAATAAATAAAGTGGTTTTGTATCATCGGTACTTATCTAAATTCTAAAGGCATAAGTACAGATTTACCAAAATCAAGCCACATATCCATAATTAAATATAACATATACAAGTACCTCATAGTTCTGAAGCAAAGATGCAATCAGTGTTGCAATTCCAAGAGTTGCAAACTTCTCTCCAACACATGCTCGTGTACCATATCCAAAAGGAAGAAAAGCTGCCTTTTTCTTTGGCTCACTAAAAAAATGGCTTCCTCCAAAGTCTTCATATTCCTTGCCTATGAATAGATATGTTGAAAAAGATAAAAACTTCAATCAGTGGTTTCAAAAATAATAACAATTTATAAGAGTGGGCAGGAACAGAAAATTCAAAGTACTAGAAGCTGATATCTATACATCTCAAATAACATGCAAGTGAAAATCCATGATATATATCTAGTAAGTCCAAGGGTTAAAATTAGAACATGATACTAGTTTGAATTGCTCAAAAATAGGACAGAGAACAAGGAGACCAAGCATATTAGAATACTTAAAATAAGACGACAAAACAAAACAAGTAATCATGTGATTTGCATTATTGTGATGCACGTTGATGAAATCAACAGTCAAAGTGGCTAGAAGCTTGCACTAAAATAGAGTTTTCGTAAAGAAGCTCAACAATGACTCAGCAAGAGAAATCTCAAAATTTTAGAAGGGGGAAGCCAATAAAACATCATGTAAATCGAGGAGAAAAGCGTTCAGATATTTTCTATATGCACACTATATCTGCAATCTAGACATGGTTCATGATGCAAAGTTGTATGTATGCCCAAAGAATATCAGCTCGGTCAGCTATCTGAGACAACGCTCGAAGAGTTTGCATTGTTTAGCTTGTCTGCTAAGTTCTTTGAAAACATGGATCTTCATCTGGTTTTCAACATAGACTCTTTCACCTTTGATTGCAGAGACCAGTGGAAGTAGTATCAAGATCTATCTTTATGCCTGTTTGTGCTTGAAACAAAGGATTATCATTTCAGTTGGCATGAGTCAGCGTGTGACACGCCAGAAGGTATCAGCACACATGTTGAGGGATGCTGGCAATGTTGGTGGTACTAATTCTTGAAATAACTTTTACTACTTCACCCAAAGTGCACTTGTTCAAGTCTACTTAATGTATCTTGACAGATAAAACTCCCTTCTCACATGGTAACTACCACAATTGTTGAACATGTTCAAAGACATGAAAGTGGATATTCTTTATGTTGCAGTACATAGATAATATTTTGCACTGAATATCTTTCTTTGACTTGGCCTACCGCATATCCGAAATTCTGAAGGATTCATGTATAACTACTTTGTCTAAGTTGTATGCATTTTCTATAAAATATTATATAAAAAAACCCTTTTATATTACTAGAGAATATATTGAATACGAGTGCTTATCAAGATTCACTATATATCATTATCTAGTTCCAAAGGCACTTATTCAATTCATCCATCATGCGTTCTTCTGGGAGTGATTGACTCAATATTTGCAACGTAATCAGGATACAGTATGAGAGACATCAAGAAGTATATTATTCCCATTACATAATTATCATAATATCTCCACTCAAATATTCCTTGTATGTTTCAAGCACGTGATAGGATATGATCCTCCTGGTGCTGCTCTTTCATTCCCCACATGTGAAGACTGTTTCATATGGTTCCATTTCATCTTTAGGCCTCACGAGTCAGGTAATTGCTGTTTGAATTGTCTAAAAGCTGGAAACATGGATATGGAAGCTCTAGAAAATAGAAATCCTTCTCAGTCACAAGTGACTCATTTTCGATTCCAGACATGTAACAAGACCTATAATATACACCATAATAGATTTTTTAAAATGTTTTTACAATAACATGATAAGCTCAATATTGGGTGTCTAGCTGCTGACATAGAAAAAGACCAGGCAAGTTCAGTTTACATATACAGTAATAGTCACCTAAGTGTACTGTTGTTACTCAACCTAATGGAACTTGCAAATCATAATCCTTCACCTAAAAGCAGCTAACAAAACAAAATCAGTAATATTATAAGATTCATTACTAATATAATTTTGAACATGACAACTGCAATACAAAAACTTTGATGTCATTAGTTTCATTTATATGGCCAATTAATGTTCTTAACCCCCAGTAGTTCTTTTAAGAGATGCATCTTTTTATGCAACCATAAAGAAGTTGAAGCTACTGTCCTTAACAAGACCAGACTCAACATGATTGCTATACCTAGATTCCTTATCTATCTTAAGTTCTGCAGGCTATTATTTCTCTTTCATATATCATGTATCCTCAATAAAATGGAATATACATAAGAAGAAACTCTGTTTTTGGGCAACTAGATTTTATGTACTTCACATACACCAACTCTTCTGTAAACTTGGGCAAGGCAAGCTCGCAATGTTGAAAAGAACACTTGATGAGCCTAGTTAGGCAAGATTATATCCTTCCTGTAATGCCCCATCATGCCTTGTTGTAATAGTCACAAATGGCAAGCCGCTGGGATTCTATCCCACCCTTAAGCTATGTCGAGACATGAGACCTTCTCATAGTTCTTATTTCCATCAAATTGTTGCAATATAAGCTCAGTTTAAAAGATAAACAAATAGGAAGATGAGAATATGTCACATACTAATTCAAAGAAACCTTAAAAAGATAAGTACTACACTGTCACACATAACAGAGCATTTCGTTTGGATGAGTCACTCGATTGAAATGATTCAACCCAGTTTGGATGGGTGAAATTGAAAAAACCATCATAATAAGGAAATTAGTTTATCAGGAATAGATATCTAATTTCACTTGTTTTCATTTATCCAATTAAATTTATAGAATGAACTTAACCACATGGCTCAACATGTTTACGAACAAGATATTCGGTAACTAGATTACTTAGGTTATTAACAACACTGTGTGGATAAAAAGAAAATAAAAACCAATCATACCATCTAAAAACTTGTTTTGCTGCTACACTTGAAAAAAAAGAAGAAGGTTGAAGCACAAAGAGATGATAGCAAATATTTTAATGGGAGAAGAAGGAATCCAATCACGCTATGACAGCACTACCTTTATGGTTTGTGGCCTCCGAAAAGAAGCGACATGGATTGAATTGACTGGCATCCTTACCCCAAATAGCATTATCCATCTGCACCAGCTGTAGAGGAACAACAAGAATTGCCCCTGCTGGTGCAGTTACACCAGAACTAAGACAAATATCTGCAATTCAGAATTAAAAGGCAGTAGTTAAAATGTTGGCTATAGTCTTTAAATGCATTGATAACCTATCATAAAAATAAACCTTTGAAGGAATAGTTTGATCAATGATCTCATATGCATGTGACTTTAACAAAGTATAACTGTTCACAGCACAAGTGAAATCTATAGGCACAGCTTAGGCACAACATATACAACAGGTAAAACTTCAGCATCTTGTCAGGTTGCACAAAGAGAATCTAGCTTTCTGTTATGTATTATCAACTATGACCAACTAGATGTAAAAATTTAGTTTTAAAATACCATATACAAAGAAACAAACTGACTTGATAATCTGCTCCGGATATTTCAAGTTTTGTAAAGCTAATATACCAAGAATCCCAAATAATTCCCAGGAATCCTGGGCCAAGAACATAAGCTACTCTTGATCAAACACAGCCAACTTCCATACCACGCTTCGAAGATGCCCGGAATGGAATGTTACATAAGTTAACTTGGAACTTCTCTGAAACATAGTTGTTCAAGTCAAAAAAGGTTCTATGAACAAGGAATTGAAATTCATTTCACACCACCCAGCCTGTACAGATTAGTCTGAGTGAGAATCGACCTCTGGACTGCCTTCATATTGGGTTATTTAATAAACAGGACTGAACTGCAGGTTACCTGCCTTGATACTGTAGTTTGGTGCGATATAGGTTGATTACTGCTCTGTAAAGGCACAGGATACTGTTGGTTGGCAAATCAACCTTTGAGCATCTGAAGCAGTAAAATAAGAGAATCATGGCTCTATAAAACTAAACCCTTACTGCCAGTCTGCCACGGCTTTGCTACTCTTTGAATGCCACAAGGAAAGGGACAGAATAGAACAGGAAGAGGAAGAAAGTAGGGTCCAAAATCTGAGAACCACTGCCAAAGGAGAGAAGAAGATATATGCAATTATTTACTAGATTCTCTTTATTTTTTTTTCTTGGATTTCTTTTATCTGATCAATACTGAGTTGTAGCAGACAACATACAAAGTTAACGCAGACCCATATTGATCTGAGAGGCAACCAGAACATGTCCAGAATATGGTATTTAAATCCTTGTCCATAAAAATTAGAGCATTAAATTCTCATCTGCTGCAATTTCAACTCATAATGGTTACTGAGCCCCTCACATTTAGCCAAGGAAAGATGTACATGTCATTAAAAGCCCACCTTTTTGGTCTGCTGCAAACCTAATTTGAACCCTTTGAAATGGTTGCTGAAACCTCAAGATTTAACCAAGAAAAAACCTTAAATGGCATTAATGCATATATTTTAAGATCATTCAAGTGAGAGAAATATTTTAATAAACCTGGAAAATTCATGGTGGAGAATTTTCATAGAAGGGAATGTTCAAAACTTCATGTCCCAAAACTTCATATCCAAGATATTTTTTTATACTAAGGTTTTTACCATGGGTATAAGGGGATTAACCAAACTCACTCAGTTTTTTGATAGACACATAATTGATGGAATTTACAAATAGGGTTAGCATTGCAAGTTTCTTTGTACAGGAAGGAATCAAATCTATGAGAGGTGGATGAATCTCTTAACCCATGCAGTTAACAGAACATAACTCCAGAGCTAATGCATTGGCAGTCACCAAACAGAGATCTGTGTGTGCTGCCTAAGCAGACAAGGGTCACTCCATAAATACTCATGAATATGAAGTATTTGTATATATAAATACCAACAGCACTTCCCTATTAATGGTACTAAGATTATCCAGTGAACAATTTATTTAAATAGGATACCCATATAATGATAACATGCAGAGAAACAAGCAAGTAAGAAGCTTACAAATTTATGCATTTATATTTATAAAACGCAATAAAGCTATTGGTACCATGCTCATACATGTATGCTGTTATCAATATTAGCAACTTTGTATTGAAGGAATAAATAGACCTATTCAGCTCAAATGCATCACTTATAGAGTAACAATCCTATTAAGATAGCTGTGTTTAAAACATCAAGTAACAAAGGAGACAGACATTACCATGGGTTGAAAAGAAAAAATAACACAGAGAACAATTACAATAGCACTGATAACCCAAATAAATAAAACTAATTTGTTCACTGCCTAAATGAATATTTCAGAGATATTGACTAAATTGTAGAGACTGAAGTTCATACCATGTTTAAGTGAGCATCTTTGAAGCAACGGACCTGCTGGCAATAACCGAGCTGATTCATGGACTGTAGCCATCAGTAAATTCATCTTTTGCACATCATGTGAATCCAGCTTGTAGGTTTTCTCTCGAACTTCTATGATCTCTGAGTACAACTGTGATATAGAAGATAGGTAAGCAAAAAGAGATAACTAGCTGAGTTTTTTGAGAATACATCCTCAGATCTCAAAATTTTCTTGCTCTAGAAAGATTTTTTTAAATTTAGTCTTCCAAGTATAGCCCTGTAACTAAATAAAGATGAAATGACACAGTAACTTCAGTTTTTTTAACATCAAATTTTTTTATCAAACTACTGGATTTCCGAATTGAAAGATCACCCAAGTAATATCAACTTTGAATTGTCTGGCATGCCTATAAACAGTTGTACGTGCACAGTTTGGTAACATCACCAGTTTATAACAAAGGTGATTTAAAACCATTTTGGGAGTAAATCAAGATTAGATGAACAAACAATAACAATTAGCAAAGCAGAAATGTGCCAGAAATTAGAAAAACTATCTACCTTCTCCTGCAATTCAGGATGCAGCACAAGCCTGGTCAGAATGCTACTAATCAAACTAGCAGTAGCTAAACATCCATGAAACATCAAGCCTAAAATATTCCCACATGGTTCTTCTTTGGAAATAAGATACTCCTCCATCTCTTTCTGGAATAGACCACCTGAAGTTGCATTATCAAGCAGAACTGGAGCATCCAATCTGGTTTTCTTCTCGTTACCCTTGTTTTCTTTGTGAGAATTGTAATGAATTTGACTTAATAAGTCATATCTTTCCACACAATGTTGGATGATGTCTTTGGTTAAGTGTTTTAACCTCTTGCACATGTGTTGGTACTTCCAGTATGTGCTACTCCAGAAAGGAGGGACTGTATAAGAAGCCCAGAAGCAACCATCCTTAGCAATTGTCATGAGGATCTCCTCATACATACCAGCTTTAGGCCAATCCAAAAATGCATCTCCAAAGAGTGTGCTCCCGAGGATGTAAAATGCCAACTGTCGAGAAACCGATATACAATCAAGAATACCTTTACCCATAATAGTATCAACCCTGCCCATGACACATTCAACAACCTTCAGAGGAATATTATTTGCTCCCACAGCTAGTTTCCCATTCATGTATTCTGCTAAAGATTCTCTTCTCTTTCGTACCTAGAAGCATTGAACAAACAACACATAGTTATAAAATGTTTTCTACAGTTAAATAATCAAGACAAGAATTACTATACTCTAACAACAGAAATCAGACAAACATTTAATCATACAACTAGTCAAAAATATACTAAAAGTAAATAGCTAAGATGTATTCTCTTCACAAAAAAATATACATCTTGGCTAAAAATATACTATGTACAGATGAAATATAATGTAAATAAAAAAAATGAAACAACAGCTTCACGAAAAACACAATTTTCTTAACACTATCAAAACTAGATCCAGTACAGGGTAATATGTCAACCAAAAAGATCCGTAAACATAAGAAAGTTTATCATAGGTGATAGCATCAAAGTCATAAGTAAAACTAGCATTTAAAAAGTGAAGAAACGAAAAAGTGATAAAATGGAGAAAAATTGCAAATTCTAGCACTATTTAATTAAGGATACCTTTTCAAAGGAAGAAACAAACAGGCTTGATCTACCAAAAGCCAAATGGAATGCCCGCCCAGTCAATGGCAATTTATCTTCTGCCTTTATGAGCATCTCTTTGATAAGCATAGTATCTTTGACAGACACAAGAAGCTGAGTTGGGCTAAGCCAAAGTCTGACAATTGGTCCATATGTCTCATGCAACTCGGCCAGATAACCTGCAATGCAGTGAATTCAGAAATGCATTGGCTTTAATATGAATGCAATTGTTCTATTATAACTGCATTTTTCCAATATTATTCAAGCAGAGGGATCTACAAATCTAGACTGGGCACTTAAGTTAGTCAGGTGGTATAAATTTTTTTATCTCATGCTAATATAATATCTACAGAAAGGAGAGATTTGCAAGATCAGGGTCCGTGGAGGACCAATTATAAGAATCCAGCAAGATAAACCAAATAGAATCATGGGAACTTCTTTTATGGAAACAAAAATCCAAAAATCTACTGGAATTAGAGGGACTGACAGCCAATCTTGATAATGCCCCGAAAGGTTTCTTGACACCCAATCCTATAAACCATGACAAGAAAAAAAATCATTGTATTGAGCTATTATTGTCTAACTATCACTAGAACTTGCATATCCTTGTTTTCTTTTTTTCTCAATCCTAGTGATCATCCAAGCAACTACATAAACTAAATAACTGTCAAGTCAAAATGTGATTCTGGTACTGGTTCATTGTACTGGCATGTTCGATAAATTGTACCAAGTAATTCATGTATATCTTCAACATTTAGTTCCTCAAATCTTCTAAGAAGTTTTAAAAAATTTCAAGACATGTGGTTTTATCCTTCTTTATTATTTTTTGATCTCTTACATATAGATAGAATTAATGCTAAATTAAGGTTAAAGGGTGCCCTATCACTTGGATAAGTTATCTCCTATAATGTGAACATAAATTTTAATTTATACAAATGCTATATTAAGGTACCAGAACAATTTATAATTGTTTATAACTGATTTTGAGATGAATGTGCAAGGCACAAATTCTTCCTCAAAAGCATACCCATGATAGACACAGTTGTTCAGGAAAAGGTAATTTCAACAGAATCAATTTTGAAGATAATATGTCAACAAGAATCAAGCATTTACTTCTAAATGATAAACTAACAAATTCTGTAGGTTCGTCTTTTGGTACCAAAGGTACAGATAAACATGCATGCCTAAAAAAATAAAAAGCTTTTGCTGATCAATGCTGGCATATTTTAACTTTGCAGAATCCGGTACCTAAAACCAACGTCAAATCATGAAACTCTTTATGAAAATAATTTGTAGACCATATTTTACAGAAATTTCACAAATAAATTCTTGAGAAACAGCAAATGAAAGAAACAAATAAGATTCCCATTCATGGAGAAATTAACTTACGGCTAGGATTTCCTTGTGGGTTAAATCTTGAGGATTAACCAACTATAGTAACATATTTTATAAAATTAAAGGGAGCTGGCATGCAAGTTGTGCAGCTTACTGTGGAACCTGTTAGCTAAAAAGGACAATTGTCCAAATGCAAACAGCAACCGCCAGTGCTCCCTGTCCTCCAAATAGCAACGGAAAGAGAATAAATAGAGAATCCTACGATAACTCCTGACCAAATACCTATTATAATAATTCTCCAAATAAGACCTAGAAGCTAATGCATGCAGAAGCAAATGTGATCTTAATAGAATATTATGTGAATGCAAATCTTAAAGATTGAATTTGAGGACTGGATAATATAATACCTCAGAGAAACACAGAAATTGCAACATTCACAGATCAGTTTCAGAATTCAATGTTGCAAAAAATATTGACAAATAGCTAAGATTTTTGATAATCTCAGTCAGAATGATGCAATCCAATCAAGATTCCAGATACAGATTGTTTAAGTTCCAGCTACTCAGGTTCTAGTCAATGATAGTCTAGCATCAACTCAAGCCATTCAAAGTTTTCTTTCTCCTTGTGCAAAATATTTTGTTTTTACTGGTTATAATTTAAGAAAGACCACCATGATATGATTAGAAATTAATTAAACACACATATCTACATGTATGTGTATGAACAAACACACTTAAATATACATGGAACAAGGCATGGTTCACACCCAAAGTTTGCTTTATGCATGACAACCTTTCCCCAACCAAAGAAGGAACAAGGTTGCTATGTTCGTGTCATCTAAGTTTCATGACTTGAGAATCATGAGTAGATCCAATCGGTATACTACAGAAAATAATATTTTTTGGTGAGAATAAATACAAATAAATAAATTCCTAAAAGAACCACATCGTAGCACTGCCAGGTGATAAAGGATCTGCTAATAACAACTTACAATTCATGAATCCAAGAGTGCAAGTCTACCCATAAGATAAATTACAAGAAAATCATTAAAAAAACCACTTTTTCAGCTCCTCGTGCTGAAATAACAATCAAATAATCAAAACCGCAAGAAGATCTAAAATTTCAGCTGCAAGACATAAGCATCTCCAAATAGCAATAAACAGATTCGAAGAAGCATCGGCCCCTACCGGTGAGGCTCCCCAGGGATCCGCACCCGGCGATCAGCTTGGAGCGGGCAAGGAAGGGGTTGGAGGGCGGGCCCGGGATCCGGCTGCCTTGGACCCACAGCCGTACCAGCCTGGCGAGTCGGCGAAAGAGAAGCGATGTGACGGAGATGAGGGCGATCCAGAGGAGAGCGTTGGTGGCCCTGGAGGTGTAGTCCCGGAAGAATCGCCCGGGGCAGGCGGCGGCGCCAGCGTGGGCCGATGTCGGCGGCCGGAGAAGAACGCCGATAAGGGTGTAGGGGTGCGCTGCGTCGCAGGATTCCATGCTGCACCCGACGGTGGAATCGAGTGGATAAACCCAAGCGCGTTACCGAGCGAAGGCGGTGTCGTCCTGTAGCCGTGGTGAGGGAGAGAGAGCGGTGGAGACGCAGGGGAAATGAGCGAAGGAACCGGTGGATTTTTTGTGGTGGCTTTTGACTGGGAAGAGGAGAGCTGTGGCGGGTGTCGTGATACGTGGCAGTCTCCAATTCAATCGGGCCTGCATCACATGGGTTGCGTGATGGACTAACTTTGGTTTTGGACACATCCATGACATTTATTGAGAGGCTCTATTTACCAGTTCCAAACGTGCCCATTCAGCACCTGTCTAATGGTTGGTCCAGCCACCTGGACCACCGGCAGGGTCTCCAGAAGAGAACCACGTCAGTCGTTTAAGCGCGTACTTACCAGATTAGAGCAGAAAACACTTTCTTTTAATGTCTGGTCTTGAGAAACAAAAATACCTGGTAGAATCACCCACGGTTTTACCAGTTCTATGATTAGAGGACAGTCAAATGGACCACCTACAGCGATTGCCAGTCGAACACAAAGATAGGTGGGAACAGAGCGAGATGAGCGTTGGGATGAAAAAGAAAAGGCATTTTCATGTCGAGATACCTTTTACCCACTAAGTGTACCATTGTCTGTACCTTTCTTATCATTGGTGGTCGAACTTGGAGGAGAACTTTAGGCATGCTTTGGATGAACGATGGTTTCCACTTGGCCACTCTTACTCGTGTCAACGTGATCCGTGATCGCAAAAGTGGCCCACCTGTGGAGATTGCTGCGTGAAAACACGAGGCAGGTATATGGGTGAGTAAACCTTCGGGAGGATAATGTCACTATTGCTTTGAATCGTCACAGGTAGAATGTGCTGTTGGCCACATGTGCGTCGCATAGTTGGGAAATCTGTGCGGTTCTTGTGATATTTTCGTCGCGAGAGTTCGATTGGAAGAACGTTTTCAACGCGGCCGATCAAATCATCTTAGTTAATAAAGGTTTGTAATCTCTCAAACAATAGGCACCAACATATCAAATTATGTAATAAAAAATAAGATCATGATTTTGTGTCGTCAGATCGATCAATTTGGTCAAATTGGATCACCAGAGAATGAGATTGGGTCAATATATGGCTTTCAATCAGGTCGGTCATAATAATATGCTCGCCCCACATAGTTCCATTGTCATGAATGAAATATATCTCAATAATATAATGTAGGTGTGATGTTATATTCTAATATGATGAACGGGCGTAGTTATCATTCAACCAACGGGAGGTACCGTCGGAACCAATCATAGTTTATGCGTAATACTTGAGCGTTACCCACGTCAATGGAGCTGAATTTGGGGTTAGAATCCATAGATAAACAACTTCGAAGACGATGGGAGGGACGAGAGAACAATTCTCTTGGATCGGTCTGATCTTTTTTCCCTTTTGATCCCGTTTGCCCTAATATTTCTCTGTTTTTATCCACTCGTTTCTGCTCCTTTCTTGTTAATTGCCGTTCTCTGTGTTCCGTTCTTTGTTTTCTTGATGTGTTCTTCATTTGTGTGCTTGATAGGGGTTTAGGGTTGCTTGATAACTGCTGGGGTCCATCGTTTTCTTATATGTGACGTTCGGAAATTTTTTGGTGGTCGAGTTTGCATTTGTTTAGGTTGCTGAATGATGAGGTTGTTCCATTGTGATTTTGGTCTAGTTGCGGCAAGAGCCGCTTTATCTGTTCCCTGTGTAGTGATCTTCCCCACACACGTATTGACGGGAGTCTTATACGCCAGGCCGCCTTCTTTTTAACTTTTTCTTTGTGGCATCAATTTCTTGATTTGATTCCAGTTCTTTAGTCTGTCTTGGTGTTGCCTTTAATCCAGGGCACACATTGACTAGTTCTGTTGCGTATTTTTGGGTGGTGGGTTTGTAGGTTCTTTTAGGTGTTGCACGGAGGTGGATTTGTGGCTCCATCCAATTTTATGTTGTCGAGTTTATTTCAAGTTAGTGGATGATGTTATGACATGCGTGATCTGTGAATTGTAGACGATAGTGAAATTTTGTTTTTCTTTTTATCTTCTTCAACCACTATATGCAATGGTATCTGACATTTGCAATAGACATGGTATTGCTGTCCCATTAAAAATTTTTAATTTCCTGTTTGTGGCGGCCCATTACATGTATTTCATTATAATAAGAAAAATAAGAATATAGGATGATTCTCCTGCTCACATGTAACATGGCTGTTCAGAAATAGCAGATGCTCCTACCATACTGTCTGATTTCTTTATGAATTCATCTCAATCTGCTTAATAAAGGGAAGATCACTGAGATGGCTTAACCTCATTATGATAGATCTTAAGCCTCTTTATAACGAGCGCAAGAATGAAACAAAGAAACATAAAGTTAGTCACTACAACAGTTGGATATCAAAATCTGTTTTAACAAGAATCTAATTGCTTTCTACTACATCATGCTTAATGTTTAGTGAAGACAGTAATTTTTTTGAATCAGGATATATGGGTTGAAATAGGGTAGAGTGATCTTGCAAGGATAGAAGGATATTACAGCTTGGACAGGATCTTTATAGAAGGAACATAAGACTATGCCAGAGAACACATTACTGAATTTTCAATTTCTACAAGGATATTACAGCTTGGACATGATCTGCAAGGTGTGGTTGTTCAATTTCTGATTGTTTGTTTTTAGATTTTTGCTAATGACAAATGAAACTTATTTTACCTTCTAGCTACAAAATTTGGGGAGTACCCTTATCGAGTTATGTAATTTCATGAACATACCTATAGATGAACAAAAAAAGAACATGTAATTTATGTGATCTCATCATCAGTTGTCTCAGTACTTTGACAAGGATGCCTTGCATTTGATTGAATTGATCAGGTGGTTAACTTCTCTCTTCTTTTGAATTTTTCACCAAATATCCTTTATTTATTTATTTATTTTTGCCCAATTTCTTTATTGTTCTTTTAACTTTTTAGATGTTGAAGTTGAAGGATTGAATGAACTAAAAGCTAGTAAGATGAAAATACTTGTTCTAAAGAAGCAAAATGAGTTTGATTAAATTGACAGAAATGTCCATATGGATGTTGATGTTGAAGGAAAAAGACAAATCCTTATCAATCTCATCAGCTCTTTTTTTTCTTCACTAATGAGTTATTAAGGCTTTGTCAAGTTCCAATATATCACTTAAATTTATAGGCATTGATCTTGCTATGTTCTTGTACCTAATGACTGAAATTCATATCTGCCCTATGACTTCCTTTTAGTGTGTTGTTCCAAAAATGTTTACTTATTGGTGTGTACATGTGCATGTTTCTAGTTTCTAGTACCCATATATTAATTTGCATTTGCAAGTAGAATTTTTTGATGGAAGGTCAACTACCATAGTGTCCAGACTGCAGAGTAAATTGACATTTATGTATACATATTACATGGATATGTACAGACCAATGCAAAGATTTGCATGAATTCATCTAAAGCATGGTCATAAGTTTCGTTGTATGCTTGGTGATGGGGTTTCATCATCGGGTATCATATACACGTATAACTGTGATGATAAAGGGTGGTCCAGGACGAGTCTCCTGCCAAATGAGGGGGTTGAGCAGGGTCAGTTCTCACAAATTTAAGCAGAAAGGTGGTCTTTTATGTTTTTTTTGGGGCATACTGACCAGTATATAATGGTTTCATGTTTAAATTTTAGTGGGAGACCTAGATTTTGACTGTATTCTCAGGTATGGTGTAGTCGTGAACTTTGTTACTCATTGGAGTTGCAAGGATACTTTGATGGTAGTAGTTATTGAAGATAACATGTATGGCTTACATGTCTCTTATAAGTGTAAAGTTGAGATATTATCTGGTCATGACTTATGGCAGTATTATTAACTGTTGTCATTCAGTGAGAATAATCATGTTTTTTGAAGATTTAAAATTATAACAATCATTAGGTATTTTAATTTCCGTCTCAGTTCATTAGCATTTTCTCTTGTGGTACTGTACTTCTTGGGTTGTTTGGGCTGCCAAGTTTACATTAGGTGTTTTAGTTTCTTTTTTCAGTTCAGTGTTGTCTTCGTTCATGGTACTGTCGCTTTTTGGGTTGTTTGGGCTTCAATAGTTTACAAGCCTACACCCGGGTGGATTGAATATGCTATAATTTCTTTCTTTTGAAATTGTTCTCTAGAGAAAGTTTCTTTCTCCCAACTTGTTTTGCACCTGATAAGTTGATCTGCATGCATTGAATCTTAGAACTTTATTTGGATAATTATAAAATTTTGGTTTATGAATAGACTGCACATCTTTTGGAAGCTTCTATGTGTTGGTTTTAATGAAAATATCATTTTCTGAAAGTTCTTTGATGTTTTGGTATAGTGTTTATCAAGGATTATCATTTGCTTATCAGACCCATATCGGTCCTGGTTGGACTGGTACGATGGTACGGGTATACCGACATATGGTATGCTGATACATACCAGCATTTCAAAAATGAAGAACAAGAAGGAGAAGACGAAGGCACAATGGAGAAAGAGGAGGAAGGAGGTGGAAAGAAGAGGGAGGAGGAGGAGAAAGAGAAGGATGAGAAGATAGGTATGGCAGTCAACGAGCATTGGGCAACCATGTACTGCTGTATGAGGAGAAATGAGGGCTTGCATTCGGGGAGAAGAGGGCTCGTGAATGCAAGCCCTAATGGCTATTTTTATTTTTTTCAACGGTCGGGCCGGATTGGCCCGAAATGGGGCGGTCCGCATATTGGTTCATGTTCGCGTACCTGTTCATGGTGGGGACAGCTCACAATCCAATTCATGCCCATGTATTGGTTCATGGTGGGGGCAGTAAGTACCACCTGTTTTGTACCAGTCCGAGCAAAACATCAATCAATGGTATTTATCTTTGTCCCTATATTTGTTTACTTGTATGTGCTTTCTTAAACGTGATTTTATGGGAAATCTTGTTTTCTTAATACATCGGTTGTAATATCCCAACCAGCAGGAGATGGCTCTGATACTTGCATTCCTTCAGTGTAGGAATTTTCTTCTCTTTTAAAATCTGTTCTTGAGACTGACTAATGTACTTGTTATATGATTCTTTTCATGATACTATTACAAATTGTAACTCAGTTATTTCCCATGCATGTTCTC